GTTGTGCAAAGGCGCCCACCTCCGCTGGCGGTCGCCTTTCGGGCGTACTGGCCCGCTTGAGGGTACTAGGCTTCCACCCTTTTCCGAGCTGTGGGCCATTCCTCCCGCGGCCTGTGCGGCGCAGCTGCGTGCCGTCTCTACCGCTGGGCACCCCTTTCTAGATGCCACCCCTCGAGATGCCACTCCGCTGATGCCACCCCTCTGGACACACATGCGCGACGGGAGACTCTCTCCGACAGAGGCTCTCTTTGCTGGCGTGCAGTCCACCACACGCCGCGCCACTCGCTCTCGCCTCGACCCTCGCTCTCGCCTCGCCACTCGCTCTCGCCTCGACCCTCGCTCTCGCCTCGACCCTCGCTCTCGCCGCGCCACTCGCTCTCGCCTCGACCCTCGCTCTCGCCTCGACCCTCGCTCTCGCCGCGCCACTCGCTCTCGCCTCGACCCTGCCTCGCCGTGCCCCCAGCTCGCTCCACACGCGTCTCCCTTCCCCTTTGGCAGGCGCGGTGGCGGCCTATCCGCAGGCAGCCCCCCCCTCGGGCGGCCCAGCCCTGTAGCACCTCAATTCCAAGCTCCGGCCCCTATCCGCAGACAGCCCCCCCTCGGGCGGCCCAACCCTGTGGGACGACGAGCGGGCGGGAGGGCGAGGGAGAGCCGCGTAGATGCGGGAGACGGACCTCTGTACAGCAAAGCACGCCTTACTCCGCTGTTCCGAGCTGTCTCTCCGCCGGATTCGTGGCCCGTGTGTTCGCGCGATCGCCTCGAGACACGGAACGGTTGTGCCGTGCTCGCGGCCCGACTCTTTGAGATGTTTCTCGGTGGCGTAGGTCGCTGCCCCTCCCCTCTCTGTCTGCCGCCCTGCCCAGACTGCGCGGGCTCTCCTCCCCTCCGTGGACGGCCCCCTCGCTGGCGCCGCGGCAGCGCCCTCTCCTCGCGGAGGCGCAGCTGCGCTGGGCGGAGCGGGCGGTGCGGTCGGCGTGGGTGCGGTGGGAGGAGTGGCGGGTCCGCCGGCGGGGGAAGGTAGATGCCGCGAGAGCGAGCCCCGTCGTACTCTCGCCCCTCGGCCCTGCGCACCTCCTCTCCACGCGTCCCGACTTCACCCCGCACGGTGCCGCATCGACCAGCCGGTCTCGACCCTCGTCTGCTTGCCTCTATTGCCACTATTGCAATAGGCTCGGGACTCGCCACAGCCTCGCGCGGCGGCACCTCGCCGCCGCGCGGCAGTGGGCCGCCCACAGCGACGTGGCGCGGTGGCGGCGCGCCGCGGCGCAGGCTCGCGCCCTCGCCGAGACCACTCTCCGTATCGAGACGCGCCGGCGGCAAGGCGAGGCGCGGCGCGCGCTGCGGGCCTGGCGGCGCGCGCACTCGGCCGCGTGGCTAGTGTGCCTCGAGGCGGCGCGCGCCTACGCCGCGGCGAGGCTGCTGCACGCCCACTTCGGTCCGTGGCGGCGGGAGGCGGCGGCGCGGGCGGCGGAGCGCGACGCCGCGTTGCGCAAGGCGAGCGCGTTTCGCCGCTGGTGGATTGGCGCCTCCGTCCAGCGAGGCGTCGGCTCGTGCACCACGACGGTGACTCTGTGAGAGCGACCCTCTAGCCCTACTACCCAACCATTACGGGCGCCTCCACAGTCCACATCTCTCACACTGGAGCTCGCCCCGCACGCCCCCCCTCGCGAGACGCAGAGCGCTGGGTGGACTCATCATAAACACACGAGACACGGACGCGCGCAATATCACCGGCCAAAGAAACAGCTGAGA